CTCCCTCTTGCCCCCCCCTTGCACCTGCTTGCCGGGAAGCCAATAAAAAAAAAAAGAGACAGCAATAAGCCAAACAAGCAACAAGCTACGAGTCAAAAACTAGCCAACAAGCAACTCACAAGCCAATTAAGCCAAAAAACAAGCCCAATTTCTGCATTTTTTCCATGGGGTTGGCATGTCTGGCACATCGCCCTCTCCTTCCCTCAGGGCATGCGAGGAACTGCAGCTGCTGGAAACCCTCCAGCTCCTCCTCCTCCTTCCCCTCCTCCCTGACAGTGTCTTCTATGTGCGAGTTGGGCTCAGCAGGGTCCAGCGGCCGCTAGTGGCAGCCCACTGCAGCCCATTTTTGTGGGAGAAAGGGAATTCTGCACAAAAAACATTAATTTCTGAAAAAATCTGCACTGCGCAATAGCACAGAATTCCCCCAGGAGTACTAGTGGAGACACTTAAGACTCCTTTTGCCAGTATAGTTTATACCAGTTCCCTGAACAAAATAAGATAGACCAGCAAAATGACTTTTTTGCTGGAATAACCGCATCTACACTAGGGCTATGTACACACTGCAGCTTAGGTTGGTATAAATTGTGTCGCTCAGGGGTGTGAATAAGCCGCCGCCCTGAGTGACGTAAGTTACACTGATCTAAGCGCCAGTGTGGCTAGTGCCCTGTCGGCAGGAGAGCTTCTCGTGCTGACATAGCTAGGGCCGCTTGTGGGGGCTGGAGAAATGAAGTCAAAGGGAGAGCTGTCTCCCACCAGCTTAGACCATCTGCACTAGCAGCGGTACAGCTGCCCTGATGCCTCTGCGCTGACGTAAGCTCTGTAGCGTAGCCATAGCCTAGGACTTTTGCCGGCATAGCTATGTTGGTTGGGCAGTGACTTTTTCCACATACCTAACTGAGGGATGTCTACACAATCAATAGCTTTTCCCATTCTCCTTTCCCCATCCTCACCCCTGATCATTAAAGGGACTGCATCAAGTAGTTATAATTATTTGTATTACCATAACACCTAGAAGCCCCAGTCATGGACCATGATCCCTTTAGGCACTGTACAAATACAAAAGGCAGTCCTGTTGAGAGCTTGTTTCCTAGGTAATGGTTAAAGATAATGTTACTTTAAGTTCTAGTTAAAATTTAACCCTATTACTAATGGGCTAATCCCATTCAGCACCAGACACTGAGGCCTGGTCTATACTACCCGCCTGAATCGGCGGGTAGAAATCGACCTCTCGGGGATCGATTTATCGCGTCCCATCGGGACGCGACAATCGATCCCCGAATCGGCGCTCTAACGCCACCAGCGGAGGTGGTAGTAAGCGCCGCCGACAAAAAGCGGCAGAAGTCGATTTTGCCGCCGTCCTCACAACGGGGAAAGTCGGCTGTAATACGTCGAATTCAGCTACGCTATTCACGTAGCTGAATTTGCGTATCTTAAATCGACTCCCCGCTGTAGTGTAGATGTACCCTGAGTGTTACAAGTATTCAGTGCAGGGTATTAAACTAGTGAGCAAAAGAGGGAGAGCATGTCATTTAAAATCTGTGACTCTGTTCCTCATCTGTAAAATGAGCAGAAAATCCCCCCCCCCCCACCACTTATTCTGTTTTGCAGACTACAAGCTCTTCAGGGTAGGGACTGTTTTCTTACTATGTGTATCTACAGCACCCAGCACCATGAAGCTTTGCTTCCTGATTGAGTCTTTAAGCACTATTATAATGCAAATAATAATAAAGCTTGTGCAAGGCATGTGAAGGGGAAATCGAGCCATCCCCAGGAGCACTGTGCAAAGGCTAGGCACATTCTAGCTCTATGGCATATACCACTGTGCGACCTATTTTTTGAACAAGGAAAATGCCAGCATTAACTTTTAACAGAATTTTTACCCAAGTACTGAAGAGATTTGTCAACCAACAGACTGACATTAAGCAAGAAATTAAACAAAACTCAAAATTAAAAAAAGACTAATCATTCTGTAGTGAATCTGACCATCACTGAGGTAGCTCTGTTTGATTTCAGTTTCTTTTTAAGTACTAGAGTCATTCTGCCTTAACCAATATTTAAAAGTCAGACATCCTCTAAAAGAGAGCATTTAAAACAGAATTTAATCTAAGCTACTACTTGAAAACAGGATTGGGGGGTGGGGGAGTGCAACCCTTTAATTCTCTTTAATTGTTAACAGAGGATAACAAGGCTAACAAATGACACAGGCACAGCACCTACCTCTCTCTGACTTTTTTGCCCGACTCCCAGTCACAGAAGTGCCACATCCCATGGCTCTAGTACAGACTGTCCATCAATTTAATTTCTCTTCACAGGCAATGGGTTTTTCTCATCCAACCGTGTTACAAGCATTTCCTTTATATTCCACTTATGATGCAATGAACCACCCCAGCTGATTCACTCCTGTTATTAGCTCTAATGAGGAAGAGGAGTAGGGGAGGTAATAAAAAAGAAAGTGGTTAATAGCATAGACTCTACCGTGCAACTCAGCAGAGATCATTAAAGCTCGTTATGAAATACTGTATGTCATGTGATGTGGAAACTGAACCTAACAAACAATGTAGGGTTATTTTCCAGAACTCAGCAGCAGTAGCCTCCCATTGCTGTCGCCTGCATTAGGGTCAAATGAACGTCTATGAATAAAGTTTCCTCTTCTGAATAAAATGCTACCTACTGGCTGAAAAGCAATATGTACCAGTGAGCTACTGAAAGCTTTATTACCAGTGACAGGAAACTACAGAGAAATTACTTTTGTTATTGTGATTTGAAAAGTAGTGCATCAGAACTTAAAGAATTTAAAATTAAAGGGAAATGATACTGCAACTATTAAACCAACAAAATAAATTTTAAGATAACTCACCCTACCATTTACCAGTACACTGCACTTAGTCTCTCATCACATCATAATGCTGTTTACCAGTTCTTCTGAGAACAGAAGAAGCTCTTTAATGTACACTTAGTTAATATCAAATCTCAAATTCACTTGAACACAATACAAGGTGACCCCTTGCAAAGTTTAAGTAGCAGATACAATGCTGTAGTGAGGCGTCTCATAATAAGAATTCACTTATTTTTACTAAATGTACTACAGCACATTTACTATGAGTCATGATAACAAAACTAAACTAATTTTGTCAAATAAATGAACAAAGTACATTTTATAATGCAGTCTTCTGGGTTTTTCTTTGTGTTTGTTCATCCACTCACTAATTCACATCATTCACAAATTTGCAAGGTGTCTCCTGGTCAATGACTTCAAATTAATGAATTTCACTGTAAAATAAATTTGGTGACATTTTTGGAGTGCTACACAATTCTATAGAGCTTTACGATTGTTGGGGTTTATTTTAGCCTAAACACCTTATCTGATCATACTTTTACTTCTCTTTCCTACGGTTATGTATGAGTCTGTAGCACAGACTGCATGGCTAAATTATTGTGTACATTATATTTAATATCCTTTCAAAAGGTTTCAAAACAAAAAGCAAAACACTCTCTCCAGCCAACCTAAATGTGACTACATAAATAATAGAATAAATGCTTGAGTAGTGCTCTTTTGCGTCTATTTTACTGTTATGATAAATGAGATAAAAGGCATGAAGAGGCAGATAAAGGCAAAAATGTTATACTAACTAGTGCAGTCTATAAAGTTACTGTATTTGCAAGACCATAAACTAGGACACTGCTGTTGCAACATTTTTTGTAGTCCCGAAATACTCCTACAAAAGACAAGAGTATGCTTTAAAAATCTACGCCGGTCTTGCGACTGCCCAGCTTCTGAAGTCAGTGACATAGCGCATACTTCACAGAGAGGAGGGTTTTTTCTAGTAACTCCAGTGTTCTGGATGAGTTTATCATGAAACACTGAACAAGTGATGTTAACATTCACTTTGAGGAAAACAACAGCTTTAAAGTCTGCACTCATTCAGCTTCTCTCTTTGCTCTACGCAGTGTTCACTGCACGGTACACCGTCTCCTAACTTGCCTCCCTAGGACATTCACAGGCCATTGTGGGTCCAACTGGCACAGCCCATCACATCTAGGTCCTGGTTTTAGAATTAGATGTCAATATCGAGGACATCATAACCCAGCCTTCATCTTGGACAGACCGTTATCTCACTAAGGAACTAATCAGAGCTCTCCCGGCTCCCAGGTATCAAGAAAGACCCATACAACCCTGATTCAACCACCAAGGCTCTTCGACTCTATGAAACTGCTAAAGGAGTGCAGCACTCGACCCACAGGACAAGTTGTTAAGGATCCGTGAATCAACATCATTGTATACTAGCCTCAAACACTGACATAATCTCCCCCAAATGGCCCATTCCTCTCCATTGCCTCCTTGGTTTTCAGACACCTCTGTGCCATATGAAAGAGAGAGAGAGGCAGAAACTTGAGCACCAATGATGGAAAATGAAGGCTGAAACATAGAATTCTTCCAAACCTACACTGATCATGGTCCTGATCTTCCTACCAGCCTCCACAGAAGCTGCCAAATCCAACCTGAAGGAGCTGCTTCATCCATTATGAATGCCTACACCCTGCATCCAAGCTGAGCACCAAGCACTGTGAACAACCATCATTCTATTTTGCTGAAAAATTCACGCACAAGCACATTCAGGACGGTTTTTCAAACAGCATGGATCCACTTTGCCATCGAACAGCCCACCTGCATTCCAAGAGTTCAGTACATTCACTCACTGAGAAGTACTAGACACCCTAAAGAGTCTTGACCCAAGACCTGTGAATCCAACTGTTGCCACTCCTGACTGAAATAGCCAATGCCGTCTTCAGGAAAGGAACTCTCTCTTCCTCCTTCAAACATGCAAAAATCTGAATGATCCTGAAGCAACCCACCCTGGAAACACCAGTGTCAAACCTGTTCCTGAGCAAGCTCAGAGAAGCTAGTCAAAGGCCAACTGCAAGCTTATCTACTTGAATCCAATATTCTAGACCCAGCAGAATCTGGACTCAGGCCAGGGCATGGAAGGGAAAACCTTTTAGATGATCATCTGCTGCCAGTGGGTGGTGACATCCATTCTCATCCTCCTGGATGTCTCTGCAACATTCAAATCTTTCAACCATTAGATACTCCTGCCTCTGCTGAGAGAAGTAACAAGAGTCCAGGGAAATGTACTAAAATGGTTTATGTTCTCCTTGTAGAGATTCACCCAAAGTATAGCAATGGAAAACTGCACCTGAACCCCTAGGCTCCTCTTTTGTGGAGTTCCACAAGGATCAATCCTCTCTCTCTAGTCCTAGTCAATGTTTACCTGAAGCTGCTTGGTGAACTGGAAAGACCACTTGGACTCAAATGCCACCAATATGCAGATTAACATAGCTCTACTTATTCTTCACCACATATGATTGTACCACTACCACCACCGGCTAAACAGGGCTGACAAGAGGGGGGGAAGCCGGGCCCTAGGCCCCCTTCCAGACCACTGGGCCCCGGTAAGGCAACGAGAGGGGAGGGAAGCCAGACCCCGGGCCCCCTTCTGGACCACCGGGCCCCGGTAATTTGTACCGGTTTCCCCCCCCTCATCAGCCCTTATCATGGATGAAGAACAGTTGATGGAAGCTGAACTCAAGCAAAACATGGGTGGGCAGAGGAAAGCATTTTGAAGAGTTTGCGCTAGAGTGCAGTCTCCATTGTTTGAAGGTACACATCCACAATCAGCGAATTCAGTGTGTAGTTTAGGAGTGCTTCTGGATTGCTTGCTGATGCTAAGCTCTCACATAGCAACATAGCACTTCTCAGCAACAAAGGCTACCGTAAACACATCTAATCTGTGCTCCACTCTCTACTGTGGATTCCCATAGAATATCAAGTCAAGTTCAAGGTTTCGATCCTTATTTTCAAGGTGCTCAATGACCTGGGCCCAGGGTATCTAGAAGATCGCCTAATGTTCCAAAATTAAGACTGGTCAACAACTCCACTCCTCTGGCACAATGGAACACTCTACAATAAGGGTAAAGTAAGTTTGTGCAGGAGACGGCTTTCTTTGAGACCAGTTTGAAACTCCCCTGGGAGCAAGCTCCCCTAGGAACTAAGGATTATCATAAACCTCACCACCTTCCGCTCTGAAGAAGTGCACCTGGCACTTGATCTGCCTTCTCTACTAACCACAAGCCAGTGAGTACATTAAAAAAAAAAATCCCCAAAACACAAAATCTTACCAACACTGTACATATAGTTATCCCCCGGGGGGAAAAATGAGAGAGAACAAGTCACATATGATACATTAGTCACAACACTTAACAGGCCGCTGGAAGGTGCTCAGATACCATGGTGATGAAGTAGCAACCTATTTAGAACAGAAAAGGAGTTCCACTGGACTATTTACTCCTGATAAATACTGAGCAAATATTATCCAGTGTAGCAGTGTGTCTTAAACAAACAACAAAAAACAAAAAGCAAAATAAAACCCTAACAATTTGACTGATGAAATGAAAAACTAGGGCTTTCCTGGTGTTTCAAAAGAAGTTTCTAGGATACCAGTAAATCATATGAAAAAACAGAACACAGGGTAGTTAGCATTCTAGCTGCTGTTTTTAAAGAAAACATGCTTCCATAAGGCAGACAATAGAACAACTTTTGGGACAATAAGGGTAAGCAGGTTTCCTGGGGAATCTCTGGGGAGCAGTTAATGCAAAATGCACAACCCCAGTTATGCAGAACCCCAGACTTTTGAAGCTTCATCCTGAGAAAAGGGCCACTGACTAAGTCAGGGGTCAGCAACCTTTCAGAAGTCATGTGCCGAGTCTTCATTTATTCACCCTAATTTAAGTTTTCACGTGCTGGTGACACATTAACATTTTTATAAAGTCTCTTTCTATAAGTCTATAATATATAACTAAACTATTGTTGTATGTAAAGTAAATAAGGTTTTTAAAATGTTTAAGACGCTTCATTTAAAATTAAATTAAAACGTAGAGCCCCCGGACCCGTGGCCAGGACCCTGGGCAGTGTGAGTGCCACTGAAAATCAGCTTGAGTGCCGCCTTTGGCACGTGTGCCATAGATTGCCTACCCCTGGACTAGGTGATTACCTGTTCCCAGAGCCTGGAGATTCTTTATAGAGCTCAGGCCTAGAGTGTAACAGCTGAACTGTCCAGTCAGAATGTGGAAAGACTGACACCTACCGAAGTCCTATGTTGGAGTTGGTGTGGCCTCTAGTAAGCATCTAACATGCAAATAGGTTCTTTTATTGTTTTTTTATGTTGTCTCTGTAATTGTTTTACCCTAAGAATAAATGCAGTTTGCTTTGTGGAGGATGGCTGGTAACTGGCATACACTTGTAGTGTATACACCAAAATTGAAGCACCCAAACTAGTGGACGCATTTGAAAACTCATGTTTGACTTTTAATGAAATTAGATGGCAAGGCTTTTAGGGCAGGGAGTGCACCTGTTTTGTAAAACACAGCATATATTTGCAGTACTGTATTAGTTATGCTATAAGCCGATGAGCCCATGGGCTGTCAGATATAAGACAGAGCAGGCCTGAGGGTCCAATGGCCATACAAATGAAAGCCACTAGCCTCTTACCTCTCATTCTTCCCCTATCACCAAGGCTTAATTTTTGCCAGGGCTGAGCCCCGGCACCTCTGGGCTTGATGTGTCGGTTATGAAAATTTTTAAAAAAATTGCTTGATCCCCAGCACTAATTGCTTGAGCCTGGGCACCTGTCATTACAAATTAAGCACTGCCTATCACTGTTGCCCTGCGCGTTCCTTCTGTTTCTTCCTCACTTTCATAAATGAAGATTGAAGAGTTGTATTCGGTTTTTTTCAGGACAGGATCCCTGCTGGGATGCAGCTTAACTTATGCTACATTGTACTTCCCCTGCAGGTGGTTTCAGTGGACATTTCCCATTGTGCAAGTTCTCTATTCTCTCTCTCCCATTCCTATCTGTATTTCTATTACAGGGCTTTTAGGATGACCTTCAATAACATCTGTTAGAAAAACATTTGTGGTTTGATGAATTATGAGAGGGAGATGGATTTTCTAGGAGCATCTGAGGGTGTACATTTCTCATTAGAGGTCTGGCTTTGGCACCTGCTCACTGCTTATATTTTGATTTATTAAACATTCCACCAGTGCTTGTTACATTCCACCAGTGCTTGTGGAAGACTACCTCAGTTAGTTTTTTTCCCATGGAATTGAGGACTAGTGTACACATAAATGATAGGGTTGATCTTGATAGGATAAAATTTATAATATCTGGAAACCTTTCCTGAAATCTGTTCTAAGAGAGGCTAAATAAGACAATGGAGATTCAGGATATCATCTGTCTAGGTACTTACAGTATATGGCCCTCATCACTGTTGTACCTTAACCCCTGAAAAATACCTGTTTATCAAGGAAATTATACCACGTCCAACCCTGTGGCACTTCTGTGCAGTACAACACCTCTTGTTGAGACCCTTGTAGAATGATATTGTTTATTGACATATTATTTATTACCAAACCATACTACTAAGTAATATTTCCTAGAGCCTGGTGGGATAGACGTGGTGAAATTAGGAACAATTTTATTTTATTTTTCTTTAGAGTTGGAATAAAATGAAATCCTAGTGGTTCACTGAAAGAAAATCATCACTGTAATCGTTTGTATTGCACAGCGTTAATTTACTCAATTTTTTTCTATGTAACTATGATTAAGCCTTCTGGCTCTGTAACATTACCTCTTTTTATTGTTTTGTGTAGTATTTGCATCCACTATACTAGTCAGCGGCTAAGATTTTGTCTAGTGGGAGGTATGCAGTGCCAAAACCTGGGATTAGACCAACTATGAACTTCAGGAGCATCTGGATCCAAACGTCCGGCTCCAGGACCCATCTCTTGCACAGTGTATGTATGTAATCCATTTGTTATGAACAAGTAATTTTAAAAAGCATTTAACATTTTTTAAACGGGACATTTAAAAATAGTTAAGAAAATGCACTGGGTGAGGGGATATTCATAAGAGAAACCTCTCATGTGTCCACTATAGATGCTATTGCCCTGGGAGAAACCTAAACATATTGCCATAGTTTAAGAGAAGAATACGATAATTAGGGCCCTACCTGATTCACGGTCCATTTTGATCAATTTCACAGTCATAGGGTTTTTAAAATAGTAAATTTCATGATTTCAGCTATTTAAACCTGAAATTTCATGGTGTTGTAACTGTAGGGGGTCCTGACCAAAAAAGGATTTTGGGGGGGGGGGAGGGAGGAGAGGTCGCAAGGTTATTGTAGGGGGGTTGAGGTACTGCTACTCTTACTTCTGTGTTGCTGCTGGAGGCGGCACTGCCTGCAGAGCTGGGCCCCCAGTCAGCTGCCGCCACTCTTTGGATGCCCAGCTCTGAAGGCAGCAGCGCAGAAGTCAGGGTGGCATGGTATGGTACTGCCACCCTTACTTCTGCGCTGCTGCTGGCAGAGTGCTGCCTTCAGAGCTGGGTGCCCGGCCAACAGCTGCTGGTCTCTGACTGCCCAGCTCTGAAGGCAGCGCAGAAGTAAGGGTGGCAATACCGTGATCCCCCCTAAAATAACCTTGAAACCCCCCTGAAACTCCCTTTTGGGTCAGGGCAGCCAATTTGAGAAGCCCTGCTTTCCCTGTGAAATCTGGTCTTTTGTGTGCTTTTACCCTGTACTACACAGATTTCACAGGGGGGAGACCAGATTTCCCGGTCCGTGACACGTTTTTCATGGTCTTGAATTTGGTAGGGCCCTATCTATAATCAAGATTGAAGAAAACCTGCAATAAAGTCATTTATTACCATGAAATTTGCAGGTTGTTAAACACACTCAATTTCCCTTTGGTTTAATGGAAGTTGAAGGTGCTCAGAACTTCATAAGATTATATTCTTAAAATCAGCAGTGATGTACCTGAGAAAGATAACTTTTAAGTTAAGAAGAAGAGGAGGATGTAAACAATAGCTTATGAAGAGCAATACGTTTTTTATCTATTGATTCTTTATCTGATAAGGCCTACTACACAAGGCATGACTAGCATCTCTAAGTGATTTGCAGTGACTATATATGTGAAGGGAAGAAATCAAATACTTTCTGTTTCAATATATTATAAATAAAATAAATATTGCATGTAACAGCCAGTTAATTTCTTGAGCCTGTTTAGGGATAGAAAGCTAGGGTCAATATTGAATTGACTCAACTATTTCTGTTCATTGCTATGGGTGATGCCTCTCAAAGACCAGGCCAGGAATCAATAGGGAACAGATGTAGTAAGCTATCTGAAAGCCAATAAAGTCAACTCCAAATTCCTATGGATCGTGGAAAGTGTAATATGCTCCAAAACTTCAAATCACAAAGCACTCTGTTCTCATCTACTCAGAACTTCTGGATAGCTGGCCCAATCCATTTTAAACTTTTTAAGGTGAACCATTCTGATTTTTATCACAGCAGTAAGCAAAATAATCTATATTACCATACACATCCTGTCATTCGCTGCACAAAGCTCTGATGCAGTTAATTTGGCCTTTTTAAAAGTGAATTAAAAGTGATCTTAACCCCCCCCCTTCCAAAGAAATTACCTGTTTTCTTGTGCTGCTGCAATGCAGAGGGCTTCCACAAAAGTGTCTTTAGGAGAATAAAAAAGCAGCCTCTTTTTGGAACCAGACGACATGACAGGGGTGCAGATCTGAAGGAGAATAGGTACTCTGGTTCTCTCTAGGGCTCTGAGGCTCACAGACTGCAATACTGGTGCCCTCCTTGCACTTACACAGCTTCCTGTGAGGAAATCTTTTAAGCCCCGCTTCAAAAATGAATACAATAACCCAAAGAGCTGCTTTCCATCTTCCAGCTTATTATGGGATCACAGGGCTGCAGACACAGAGCTAAACTGTGTGGATGCTGTTGCTGGAGCTGTATGTCACTATGCTCCCTGAATCTCAAACAGAGAAAGGATGTGCCGAAGTTATCTGCTTCAAATCTGAAGTCACATGATCACTTTCAAGAACAGCCATTGCACAGTGACTATGAAACAACAATTTGCATTTCAGCAGCACTAGTACACAAAATATAACAGGGAGCTTAGGTCCTCCAATGTAAGATCCCAGCTAGAAACACAGATTGCTAACTGCATTTAGCAGTATAGCATTGTGTCTCTCAGTTAGTGCTGGAATATTTTAGAAAACAATTCTACTTTGTTGTTGTGAGGCACTCAACGACTATGTTGAGGAACTTCACAGAAATGCCTATAAACTAAATACATTCAGTAAGCTAAATACATGCACTGCTTAGAGTGGATCAGTGCATGGTTTCCCCAACCCAGGCAGAGAGTGGGGAGTCAGATACTCCACAGGGTCAGAGATGCACATGTGGGGCAAGTGGGGGCATGGTAGGATCATCCCCCATTCTACATGAACTTACTACAAGCTGAGGCTTTATTAACAGCCTCAGGTTTATTAACTCCTGAGCTGAGCAAATCTTGGCTGCAAAATCCACCTTTAAAGAGTGTGGGAACTGTGAAGGTGTGCTGGGGGATTCCAGAAACAGCTGCACCAAAAGACGCCCTTTCAGTCTAGAGAATTGTAGGAGGCTAGGAGGGAGCACACTGCATTTGGTAGACCCTCAAGGTCTGCCAGGATCTCAGGAGGCCAAATCTCCTGCTGCTTCCAGAGAAGGGTGTCAAACCCTCCTCCCTGCTCTGAATAAGGAATTCAGAGGAAACTCTGCAGGTTTCTTGGCCCCTACACAGGTTTTCCTATGTAAGCCATGATCTGACTTACGTGTACATTGGTATAAATCCAGACTGACTTCAGTGAAGTTACACTGGTATAAATTTGGAGTAATTGAAGACTGAATTAGGCTCAATGATCTATATTCTGCTCTCCCTTGTGGTATGTTACATACGATTTGGAACATGCTCTAGAAATGCTTCTTCTGTGGGGGCTAATTCAGATCCTAAGCACAATGCAATTTGCATGCCATGATTCTTTATGAATTGAAAATTATTCTGCTTTTGTTTAACCATAGCAAGGTGTCACGACTTGAGGACATCAGAGCTTTACATGCTGCTAAAAGCAGGGAGTGAATATTACTCGATGAATATCACATCTCTGATGCTGGAGTGTCCTAGCACAATTTAATACAGGCTTTGGGCTAATGAGCCTAATCCACACATACCCAGACCTATTAAACTTCATATATCTAGGGCAGGGGTGGGAAAACTACGGCCCAGGGGCCGCATCCGGCCCTCCAGATGTTTTAATTTGGCCCTCAAGCTCCCGCCAGGGAGCGGGGTCCAGGGCTTGCCCTGCTCCACGAGGCTCCTAGAAGCAGCAGCATGTTCCCGCTTCTGCTCCCATGCATAGGGGCAGCCATGAACTCCACATACTGCCCCTGCCTCAAGTGCCACCCCGGCAGCTCCCATTGGCCGGGAACCACGGCCTATGGGAGCTACAGAGACGGCGCCTGCGGACATGGCAGTGCACAGAGCCGCCTGGCTGTGCCTCCACATAGGAGCTGGAGCGGGGACATGCCGCTGCTTCCTGGAGCTGCTTGAGGTAAGCACCCCCCAAAGCCTACACTCCTGACCCCATCCTGTGCCCCAACCCCCTGCACCACCCCTGATCCCCCTCCCACTCTCCAAACCCCTCGGTTCCAGCCTGGAGCACCCTTCTGCACCCCCAACCCCTCATCCTCAGCCTCACCCCAGAGCCCACACCCCCAGCCGGAGCCCTCACCCCCTCCCGCACCCCAACCCCCAATTTCATGAGCCTTCATGGCACGCCATACAATTTCCAGACCCAGATGTGGCCTTCGGGCCAAAAAGTTCACCCAACCCCCTCTCAAAACTCTCGGCTAGTCCCACAGGGTAAAGCAAGATATGTACAGTACTTCCTCACTTTCCTGGGTAAAAAAAATAATCATCAACAGCACCTTTCCCAATACTCAAAATTTGGTCATGCCACTGCTCAGGAATCTAAACTCTTAATTTATTTATTTTTTTAAAAAGGGAACCAAATGGTAGTAAGAACTTTTAAAGATTTTACACAAAACACTATTAAAATCTTTTCAGCTGAGATGCAAAACCAAAGTCCTGGCCACTTGTGGTCATTAAAGACCTATATGACACTTTTTCCTAAGAGCTGCAGTGTTCAAACCCAATTTCAATTTGGATAGCTACATTCTGCCTACTTAAAATGTCTCTCAGGGCTGTTTTTCCCCCAAGTCTAAAAAAAATAAAATAAAATCTGTCTTTCTTAAAGCCATGGCTTTACTGAGCTCAATCTTGATCTCCTTCCTCTCTCTCAAAACTCCTTTGATTTCAGTAAGACTTTTGTCTGAAAAAGGAATTCACGATCAGGCTCCAAAAACTCTAAATTAAACTAGGTTTATGAATCAAAATGTGCCTACGGTTTCATCAGTTGATTTATTTTTTTAGTCAATCTGTAGATTCACAGAGTTTAAGGCCAGAAGGGACCATTAGATCATCAGGGGTCAGCAATCTTTAGCACGCAGCTTGCCAGGGTAAGCCCCCTGGTGGGCTGGGCTGGTTTGTTTACCTGCCACGTCTGCAGGTTCAGCCGATCACGGTTCCGACTGGCCATGATTCGCCGTCCCAGGCCAATAGGGGCTGCTGGAAGTGGCGGGGGCCGAGGGACATGCTGGCCACCGCTTCCCGCCATCCCCATTGGCCTGGAGCAGCAAACCACGGCCACTGGGAGCTGCGATTGACCGAACCTGTGGACACAGCAGGTAAACAAACCAGCCCGGCCCGCCAGCGTGCTTACCCTGGCGAGCCGCATGCCAAAGGTTGCTGATCCCTGATCTAGTCTGACCTCCTGTATGACATAGGCCATAGAATTTCATCTAGTTATCCCTGTATTGAGCCCAATAACTTGTGTTTGGCTAAAGCATATCTTCCAGAAAGGCAATCAGTCTTGATCTGAGAATGGATAATCCACTACTTCCCTTGGTATTGTCTCCCCAGGAAGTTTCTTGTACACTGTAACAAGTCACCTCTTGAGACCAGCCCCGTCCCGATCAATTACGGTCCCCTACGCAGCCTGAGCACCTGCTCCCTCTCCTCCCCCTGCAGAGGGTCTGGGCTGCGGAGCAGGAGCTGTGGGGGGCTGGCCGCCGTTGCTGCCACATACCAAGACAGGGCTGCCCGGGGCGGGGGGGACAAGTGGGGCAATTTGCCCCAGGTCCCGGGCCCCGCAGGGGCCCCCACGAGAGTTTTTCGAAGCCCCTGGAGCGGGGTCCTTCACTTGCTCTGGGGGCCCTGGAAAACGGTCGCGGGGCCCGGGCCCCCGGAGCGTCTTCCACTCCAGGTCTTCGGCAGCAGTTCGGCGGCGGGGGTTCCTTCCGCCGAAGACCCCAGACCCCCTGAATCCTCTGGCGGCCCTGTACCAAGCACGCAGCTGCATAGGGCACCGTGAAATTTGCGGCAATTTGGTGTGCCAAATTTCATGGTGCCCGACACAGCTACATATTCTGCATATGCCTAAGGACAGCCCTGCTTGAGACCTATGTACAAGACCCTGCAACGTAAAGTGAAATCCTAGTGGTAGAAGAGATATATTTTTAAAGCGTAAAATTATTTTGTGGCAGAACACTGAAGCAAATGATATTGTAAATTTATTAGTTTACATCTTAATTTACTGAGCTGTTTTCTTGTGGCTTTTCTCATGTCCTTTGCAAACACGTCTATTTTCTAAATCTGTTTTATGTTACTGTCCCTGTCATAATAAAGTTTGGGTAATAAATAAACACAGACACACACCCTGAGATGATGATTTTATGTCACCCTAAAAACAATTTTTTTTTGACAGTATACACTTTCCCTCAGAGTTACAGTATCTAATCCTTTATGTATGATCATTCTGTTCAAAATACATGCAAGTAAAAATACATTACAACCTCTTTTCACTACACTCTGGTGGTATATGTTATTTATCAAATATTTCCTCTATGTGATATATTCATGCATGTGAGCAATGTCTAATATTTCAAAATAAGAAGATATAGGGCTTAGTCCAACTTTCACTGAAGTCTTTAGACAGGTTTCCTTTGATTTCAATGGGAGTTGGATCAAATCCTTAATTGTTAGCTTCCATACGATACAAACATCCATTGTGTGTCCGCTTTCTATTCTATTGCTGAGGGAATTCTGCGCCAAAATACTAAAAATTCTGTGCCCAAACATTAAAAATTATGCAAAATTATGCAAATTTTATTTGTCAATAAATAAGTGTAGTTCCAGCATGGCAGTGGGGAGCACAGGCCACTGGCTGCATTGAGGTGGGAGATCACCCTGAAGCCCTCACCTCCCCCAGTACAGGGACTTGGCAGTGAGGCTGCACCTGACCCTGACATAGTGCGAGGGCTGGGCCTGCCCCAGAAACACCCCAGGGCCCTGCCCCCTCTGCGTCATGTACACCAGGTGTGGGTGGGCAGGCTCAGCCCATCAGGATCCAAGTGTGGAAGAGCTTTGTGTGGGGGGATCCAGGTGTGGGGTGAGAGGTTTCTGTGTGGGGCAATCTGGGTGTGGGCAGCTCATTGGGAGATTGGGGTGCACAGGGGCTCATTGTGGGGTGTCGGGTGAAGGGGCAATGGGAGTCTGCAGGGGATCCAGGTGAAGGTGGCTGGGGCTCAGTGGGGGGGTATAGGTGTGGGTATATGGGGCTCAGCGGGGGTGTCTGGGTATGGGGGACTCTGGGTGCGGGGAGAGTGGGCTTTGATGGGTTGGGGGGGTCCAGGTTCAGCTGTTTGGGGATCAGTGAGGGTGGGGGTCTGGGTGTTGGGGGCTCGTTGGAGGGGTCCAGATGTAGGGGGGTAGGGCTTGTCAGGGTGAGGGTTCAATGTGCCTGCTTGATAGGGGAGCCCCCAGCTGCTGCTGAGGGAATGCCGCATGCTGGACTACAGCTTCCCTCATGATTCCCCTATTCCCTTTTCT